TAACAATTCAAGAGGTAAGAACTTGTCATTTAGTGACCAAAGTGCATAAGCTTGAGCATCTTCTTGTTAAAACCGAAGCATAGTAGTTATATGCATATACATTCGGTTTTTTCTCATGCATGTGCCAACCATTTAGGATTTGTTAGATTATATAAATCCTAGTGTTTGGAGCTTAAGTTAATGCATGTCACTTTGGTTTTAAGTATGAGGTGTCCTAATATTACTAAGTTAGGTAGTGGCTAAGCTTTATTATTACCAAGTGGCATAGCTAAGTTACCAAAATTCTCCACATCCTCTCTTTTGTTCGGTTTACTCACTTTAAAGGGAGTAAGGTGGGACTTTTGCACAGCATTTCTTTTGTTGAATCCAAGTGAGAGTAGTGAGGGAGATAGAGAGTTTTCCTAAGTTAAGAGAAAGCACACACACACGGGCTAGTCGTAAGCCGAGCAAGAGTACCGCACGCGCACGGGAGTTCACGGAAGGCTACAAACACCCGAGCTAGTAAGGAGGTAATCTCCTTATTGATAATATCTTGATGTTAGTTTGCTTCTTTTTAGTTCAAACCTTAGGCTTAAAGTTCATGAATTAGCCATAAGTCGCCTAACGGCCATGTGCATAGTTCATATCGAGCATGTTCATGTAGTGGTCCGAATCTCTCGAGCAACCTTAATGTACTTAGTCATTTCATGCCATAATATATTAGTTAAATTCATGTTGCTCCAAGAATTTCAATGGTTAACCGTTGAATCGGCCAAAGGGTGTAGTCGCGCCCGTAGCGCGCACCGCGGGCCGTGCATAATTAACGATCGTGTTAAGTGGTAGTCTTTCGAGCAATTCAGTTTTTTTATGACCATTATATGTTATTTTAAGTCCAGGCATGTCGTTTTTGTTTGAGTAAAATGCATGTTCGGTCGGGAGTCGGCTTAAAGCCATAGATGGCGTGCGGTACGCCCGTCGCCGACCGTTGGAGCGCTTCAAGTAAAATTTTATGATTTTTCAAGTGTAGTCAGCGTATATGGGCATATTTTAGTGTTGCATGTTGGTTCAAGTTTGATCGCTCGAGACATTTCATGTTTAAGTCGAGAATCAGCCTAAAGCCGTAAGGCGGCGCACGGTGCGCCTGTC